CACCCCTAAGTGAATTTTGAAGAATCAAGAGTTAAACAGGCCAAGAAACACACACACACACACACACACACACACACACACACACACACACACACACACCTCTGACAGGTTGGCAGGAAAGAGGCAGTGTGCAGCAACAACAGCAGAAGCTATGCACCCACTCCAAGCCCACACCATGGCTCACTAAGTGCCAAGCACCATGTGGTCCACAAAGGTGAAATAAGAAACAAAATAACCACTCTGGTCAGAAAGACAGGCAGAAAATAAATTACCTAAATAAAAGGCAAACTGCCCAAGGCTGATTAACTTCCAGTGCATTGAAAAGAAGAGAAAGGTTAATTCTACTTTGGGTCCTAAGTACAAAGATCACTAGGATGGGGGGAGCCCGCTCAACACAAGGCTTTGTATGGATAGGTGGAAAAGAAATCCTGGGGATTGTAGGAGGAGGTCAGCCTTGGTGGGAGAGGGGAGGAGGAAGACTGGGCAGGACAAAGGGATTGGAGCAGAAGAGAGGGTGGGGCCAGTGGACTCCGCCTCCTTCCCCCAGCACCCCCGCCCCACCCCCACCCCACACGCAGACCAGCTTCCTGCAGTCTATGGAAACAGGTGAGCAGGAACTCCTGAGGCCACTTGGGGGGCGGGGCTGGGGTTGAGGAATTGGACTGGTGTGTCAGGAGGGGGTCTATAACATTTTGCTATATAAACTTCAGGGAATTGGCAGGCTGGTTTGGGGATTTGGGCTGCTTCAGGATTATTAGTGTGAGAGAAAAGTTTTCCCTTGTCCGCTAAACTTGCTGCCCCTGTTCTGAGTCCTAGCAGGAAACTTGAAACCCCAGTTTAGTGAGTTGGGGATGGAGTGGTGTCTGGCAGATATGGGGTCAAAGAGGACAAGAGTGATCAGGGCCTTGTCCCCTACCAGGCCTTTGTAAGACTCTTTCTCACATAATTGTGTCCCTGTGGCTCTGCTGCGTCAATGTGTACTTTCTCTCTTTACTAGAGCATGGCTGACTGTGGGGACATTGGAAGATAACCGGGACAGACAGGGTAAGTGATATATCCCTTCTCTTTCCAACTGGATCAGACTGAAAGCCTCTAGCTGGAGAAACAAAGGGTGGAGGTCCAACAGGTGCAATAATGGAGAAAGGCGGGCCTGCCCCATCACCTGGATTCCAGAATCACCTGGATTCCAGAGATGCCGGTGTGCACTGAGGCCGTGGCAGGGTGGCCTGCACTGGATTCTGGATGGTTTATAGGGAAGATGGAAGGAAGACTACAGGTAAGAAGAAAGGAATGCAGGCAGAGCCAAGACACAATCAACTCGCTTGAATGCTGGAAATCAGAACTCTTGGGCTGGTTTCCTGCCACATGATAACCTAAAGAGAACTGTGGACTTGGAGGGGATCCTGCAGGTCATTATTCAAGATTAAAGCACATGGAACCCACCCGAGGAATATAATTTGTTTACCTGGTACAGCCATGATCCCAATTTCTAGTTACACACCATAGCTGTGTATCTCTTTGCAGGCACTCTGGGCAGGGCCATGGTGCCAAGCCAATTGTGGGGGAGACTGGAGAAACCACTTCTCTCCCTGAGTTGTGCCTCCCTACTCCTGGGGCTGGCTTTACTGAGCATACGGCCAGACATCGCCCCTGTTGCTTATTTTTTTCTCACCTTGGCTGGCTTCTTCTTGTTTGCCTCCCTCCTGGCCTGTTTTCTGGAACGGGGGCTCCGATCAATGCAGACAGAGAGCCCAGAGACCCCAAGCAATGCACGGTGAGTGAAGGTGTGGGTGGCTGACAGGAATACACACTGGGACCATCCTTCCTCTACACCTTTAGTCTCTAAGAGACTCTGCTTTCCTCGTTCACTGGTACTAATGAGAGCAGGGGTTAAGGACAAGTAGAGGGGTCTGGATTGCAAACAGGAAAGGGGAAAAGGGGTCCTTTCAGGAAGCCACTAATGACCTCATTTCTTCTCTCTCAGGGACAATGAAGCTTTTGAGGTGCCAACATATGAAGAGGCCATGGTAGTGTTGGAATCAGAGAGCCACCCCCAACAGCTGGATCAACCACCCCCTTACAGCAGTGTTGTAATCCCCCCAGAACTTGATGGGGGACAACCTAGCCAATCAGAAAGGCCCGTGACACATAGACTGGAAAGAAGAGTGGGCTCAGAGGGGGCTATGACCCCAGGAGGAAGCCCTGGAAGAGTTCTGATCAGCCTTCGGCTTAGGGGACCGAGGGTCATATCCACTGCTCCTGATCTGCAGAGCTTGAGGGCAACCCCCAAAAGAGAGCCTCTTACTCCACCCCCTGCCTATGATGTCTGCTTTGCTCACCCTGATGATGATAATGTTTTCTATGAAAACAACTGGACACTCCCCTAAGCAACTCTCTCAGGACTTATGGCTCTACATCAGACCCATTCATTCATTTGACCAGCATTTCCCAGCACCCACCATGTGTCAGGAACCGCATTTCTGCCTGGACATCAAAAATGGGGACTTGAATCCAGAGGGGAGTCGGGCTATGGTAAGCCTTTCCCAGTGAAGAAATGCGTAACAGAATTTAACTCTTCTGGCAACATTTTATGACATACCCCATGCCCAGTATTTCCAGAGTTAAATTAGGGTGAGGTAGTGGGGTAATCCAGAGAAGCTGAGGAAGGAAGTAAAGTAATATCTGAATGACAGATATATTTCCATCTGTTCCAAATGCCTTACTTCTGTTAGCTTTCTCAGGCTTTCAGCCTTATTAAGTATTATTACCCTCACTGAAAAATGTGGTTTCAAGGGTCAGAGGAGTTATAAAACATGCACTAGGACATACAGCTAGTAAATAACATTAAAATAACTTGAATGAACTCCTGATTTCAATGCAAGGCAAGGACCAGGAAGCCAGGCCTTCCACATTTGTCTCAGTCCCTATCGTGGAACAGTTGCTATACAGAGGACTTCATACAAACAGAATGCAGGATCCTTACATCTAACAGGGTGGGCTGGGCAGGATCAGGAGTGACCCAACTTCCTACAGGAGTAAGGCTAATCATAGTTCTGATGGTCCCTGCTCCATGTGGGAAGCAGTTACTGTGCCTCTCCCCTACCCAGGAGCTACAGTGCAGCCCTCACGCAGGGTCTTCATCCTGTCTGAAAGCAGTGGAGTAAATTGCCCCAGGTAGACTTCCAAGTTTTGACAATGGATGAAGGTCAGAAAGGTTAACAACGTGTTTCTTGGCAAGGGGTGAAGGGTAGTATCCAAGGAGACTCTCTCCTGAATATCTGTCTTGGAGCGCGGGATCACCTGCAGAGTGTCCCCAGCCCCTTCGGCTTCACTCTGACTGACTGCTGGGGTTCTACCCCAGCCCCGTGTCCCGCTTCTTCAGACCCCCAATGTGCTGCGACTGGGATGCTCCTCACTTCCCCCGCAAACCAACATTCGTCCAGGGGGGTCTTGTCTAGCGCCTTCTAGTGTTCGCCCTCTAATTTCTGCATTCCGCCCCTGGGGGAAACTCCAGTAAAGCGACAAGTCTCACTACCTCGGTCTCCGGAAGTTATTGCAGCAGGCTTGGCAGGGAGGGGGGGAGGAGCCTCAGGAGAAGGCCTTGATTTCCGCGGGAGCCGATGGCCAGTCGGATTCTTCAGTAGGAGGGGCTTCATCCATTCCCCGCCCCTTCCAGTTCCGCCGGCGCCTGCTCTCTTCCCATTGGAGGGCGCGACCCCGGCAAGAGTTTTGTGTTGCGCACGCACCATCACGAAGGCGGACCTGCCTGAAATCGGGGCGGGGCTAGGGGCAGTAGGCGCAGGCGCGATTGCCCTGGAGGTCGGGGGAGGGATGCGGAGGAAGTGGCGGCCCTGGGTTTGTTTGGGTTGTGGGCGGTGCATGCACAGCCCGGGAAAAGTGGGAAATGGCGGCGCCGAGCGCGGGGTCCCCTCCCGCCCTGCAGCAAAGGGGGCTAATGGCTGCTGACCGGAGGCGCAGGTGAGAGGGGAAGGGGTCAATGGGGCCTTCATGGCGTCCAGGAGAGTGGACCGCGCGGTCCCAGCGTGCAGTCTTGACGCCCCCTGTTCTTGGAGCCCTAAAAGTAGCCGTGTCCTGGCTAGCTGCCAAGGGTGGGAGGCCGTGAGGAGCCTTCGGGGCCGCTCCGAGCCAAACCCCGTGCAGGGGCGCGCGAGCAGCCCTCTTGGCCTTGCCTTTCGTGGACAAAGACTGCCCCAGCCCCCCTTTGTCCACCTCTTGAGGGCTCTGCATAAGGATAGCTCTTTGCAGCTCTGCTAGTCTCCATCCTTTCTTCTGGATGATGAAGAGAAACTAACTGTTCTCTTCTCCTTAAAAACCAATGAGCCTTTCTGCAGACATAAGTGTTCTGCCTGATATACATTTGATTTGGATAGACAGTTTCATGACCTGCATTGCTTTCCATATAATGACCAAGTTTTTAAGAAGAATTCAACATAGGCATTGAAGTTTAAGTACTCTGGGAGGATTGGGAGGCTTCTGAGTCTCAGAGCAAGTCGCCACTTCTGCCTTGATCTTTCCTGTAATGAGACAGATGTAACGAGAAAGATATATTGTAATGGTCTTGGTCCAAACCAGGACCAGGACTGGGGATTAACCCAGAATTTCGGAATATGCACCTTCAGAGGCACACAGAATCAAAACTTTAGGACTCCCTTGGTTCTCTGCCCCCACCTTGCAACTGTGTCTTAAAAATTGAAGGTTTAAAAACTTTTGAAAAGTTCACATTGGGAGCAGGTGTGCAGAGAGTGGACCACGTTTTCGATAAAAACCGATAAGTTTTTGGTTGAAAATTCAAGTACCAAGTCTGGTACTTGAGGGAAATTGAATAAGTTGTGAGAATGGATAAGATTGCCTAGGGAGGAGACTCTTTTTGGGGAGTCCTAATTCAGTATCAACTTTAAGGACAGGCCAAAGGTCTTCCAAAAGAAATAGAAGCATAGTAGGTAGAGAGGACCTAGAGGGAATGGCCCTTGTGAAAACTAACGAAAGAGAAAGTTTTAAAGACTGATCTTTATCTCAAATTCCTTAGGGTTGTTACCAATTGTAAGAGATCTGCTGCTTTGAAAAGAGATCTGTTGCTTATGAACCACATTTGGAATAGCAGGAGTATTCTAAATATCTACTCTGTCTTAGGTGCCCACTTGTTCTCTTCTTGGATATCTGAATTCCTCTCAGACTCTGCTTTTCCCTCTAACTATAAATATTTAGTCCAAGTACATCCATTTTATAGATGCATGTTTTTCTTGTAAATTTTATTATTTTTTTGAAGTCAGGATGAAGGTTTAATTAACTAGGTTTTAGGTTGTGTGATGGACCTTTTATTCTTTTCTCACTGCCAACAAGCCTTTAATGTTGTGTATTTGAAAACTAAGCAGACCTCTGCATTTACATACAAGGGCACCTAGATAATATATCGGAAATAGGAGTCTTTAATTCATAAGCAGAAGTTGATCTCTTCCCAAATTGATAGAAACACTAAAAAATCTTTGAAATACAGATATCTCTAATAAATTTCCAAAGTAATTTAACCTTGCAGTATAATTTCAAGTGACTCTGTTCATCACTACATCTGATAGGATTCTGATCATTTCTAGTGTCTTTTTGTCACAGTAACTTAAAGGTTTTAAAAAAAACTTCGTTTGTGTAAGTAATCTAGAAAGCATGTGACTATTAAATCTGGCCATTGGCTTCAGATTTTGCCTTTGTACTAAATTATTTTATTCCTCACCCAAGGTCATTTTAAACTTACATTACTTTTAGATTAATAATATGAATGTTTTCTGGAACTCTCTTAATATTGGTCTATCTGACAGAGATATATCCTTTCTCTTAAATATATGTGTGCTTGTATTTGGTATCAAGATATTTTTATCCCACAGTCAGACAATTCATCTCAGATAGCCTCAGTTGAATATACTCCTCAAAGAATTTTACATTATTCTCTTAGGATTGATGTACTATTACTGCTTAGTACATCTTTGATTTTACCAAATTCAGTATAATGAGCCTAATCTTTGTTATTGTAAGTCCCCTTTTTGTTTATTTTGTCCATGGCTCTTCCTCTACTCTTTGTCCCAACTTGTGCTCGACTGCCTTTTCATTTACTGTTGTCTATAGGATATCAGTGGTTTATGGTATGCATCCTGACCATCAGGAGACTCTGAAAAAGAACCGAGTGGTGCTAGCCAAACAGCTGTTGCTGAGTGAACTATTGGAACATCTCCTGGAGAAGGACATCATCACTCTGGAAATGAGGGAGCTCATCCAGGTATCTGGAGGCAAAAGAGAGGGGCAAGGAGATAAATTAATCTTAGGGGTAGGAATAGAAGATGATAAAATGTGGAAAGCCATAGTGCCTTGCTAAGGATATGCAAGTGCCTTCCTAACTATAGAGAATTTGAAAGAAAAGACATAATGGAAAAGACTTCACCTCTACATAACTCTTTCTGTAAAAGGAATTCTTAAGATGAATGAGGAAACTACTAGAAAGCTTATGTAAAAAATGAGATTATAACTAGATAATTGTGATTTCATAGTTTGTTCTGGTCTCTCAGGCCAAAGTGGGCAGTTTCAGCCAGAATGTGGAACTCCTCAACTTGCTGCCCAAGAGGGGACCCCAGGCTTTTGATGCTTTCTGTGCAGCACTGAGGGAGACCAAGCAGGGGCACCTGGAGGATCTATTACTCACCACTCTCTCTGGTCTTCAGCATGTACTCCCACCGGTATGGAGCCCTGCACATGTTGAGATTTGGGGAAGGGTTACTCTGGCTGGAAAGGACTTTTTGGGGACAGCGTGGGGAAACTAGATTTTATTTTATTTGGACTGAACCTTCTACCTAAGGTCTATCATGGTGAGTCCTAAAATTTTTTTACAGTTGAGCTGTGACTACGACATGAATCTCCCTTTCCCAGTATGTGAGTCCTGTACCCCTCACAAGCAGCTCCGCCTGTCATCAGGTGAGAATTAATGGGTTAAAAGGAGTCTCACACATTGATTTCTCTTTTTTTTGACTAGAGTTTGGCTTTTCCTTAACTAAGACATATTTCATACTGGGAACAATTCCTTCAGTGAATTTGTTAAGGACTAGTAGGATAATTTAAGTAGTGCATTAGCTGGGCCCATTTCCCTTCCATCACAGTTAATATTCTTTATGATGATTGGCCTGCTGAGCAACTTATATTGGTAGAAAATTTCTATCCAACTAACTTGTCTTTTCTTTAAAACTGAATGAGAAAAGACTATGTTTGGGGCTACCAACCTACTAATTGTGTAGCCTGGTGGTTAAAAACAGGCATTTATTAGATCACCTTTTCAGACATTAAACAAGTTGAGTACCTACTACTCCTAAGCCCAGTGTAGAGGATCCCCTGTGAGCTGAAGCTAACAGGACCTGTGCCCTCCTGGAGTTTACCAGTCAGGGGGAATAAGAGACCAAAATTTATCAAAACCTCAGTTCAGAGGGGTGTCTAATATTATAATTAACTGCTAGAATTGATGTTTGAATTATATACAAGTTTTTTGCTTTCTTTTTGTATCACAGACACTATGGAACACTCCCTAGATAATGGAGATGGTCCTCCTTGCCTTCAGGTGAAGCCTTGCACTCCTGAGTTTTATCAAACACACTGCCAGTTGGTGAGTCTTGCGTAATGGCAAGAAAGTTGGAAATTAGATACACTTTCATGAGTCTTTGAACCTAGTTTTCATGTGCATTTTCTAACTGCCTTATTAGTCAAAAAGTCATTGCTGGATGGATGCCTTCTGTGAGTGGGTCTCTTATTCACCTGGTGAAGTTAAGAAGATTATGTCTTTGGGAGTGGGGGATCCCTAATCTAGTGAGGGTATCATAGTTCCTGTCATTAAGAAGCTCATGGTCTAACTTGCCCCCACTCCCCAGGCCTACAGGTTGCAGTCTCGGCCTCGTGGCCTGGCATTGGTGCTGAGTAATGTGCTCTTCACTGGAGAGAAAGAACTGGAATTTCGCTCTGGAGGGGATGTGGACCACAGTACTCTAGTCACCCTCTTCAAACATTTGGGCTACAATGTCCATGTCCTGCATGACCAGACTGCACAGGTACCTGAGACTGGAAAGACTGGCATGTAAATCAGATGACTGGGCAACACATGGGGGCCAGACAAGTCTGCTGCCTCTGTGCCTGCGAGGATGTGTCTTAGAGGTTATGTACTCACAGCGTCACTACTGTTGTGCTCTTCACTTTGCAATCTAGTAAAAAAGAATTAGAACCATCCAGCTGTATCAGTGTTGACATCTCAGAGTAGCTGTGCTTTCATGGAGTAATAATAGTCCAGGGTTAGGTTCTCACTTTTACATGTTCAGAAACTTGATTCCCAGCCTCAGGAAGTGATGAGATACTGGGATTCACCCTAACTAACTCAGAGAAGATATTTATAAACTGGGACTATGCAGGACATGTATTCTTGCTTGATACCATTGCTTAGGAGCTTAATTATTTGTTAAATGATTACTGTAGAAGATATAATTCTTTCAAATCATATTCCCCATATGTTATGGGGTTATGGCCCCAAGTCCTTTCGTGGGTAGATTGCTTCCAGACTAGATTCTCAGACCATAAGCAGTTTCATTGGGGTTATTCCTCATTAACCTCAGTGACCAAGCTGCACCACTACCGATTTCATTGCCTTTAGAATTTCTCTTGAAATTAACAATCACTTATATACAAGTTTATTATGAACTCTATTTTGATTCCATAATAATACTTCCTTAAACTTGCCTTTGGGGTTGTTAATGGTGACATTAAAATTTCTAGGAGATTCACTTTGTCCTGTTGAGGCAAAGAATCTTGGTTTTGTGTTTAGCATTTGTTCTGTGTCCTTTGTTTGTTCCCCAGCTGTCCTGCTTCTGTGGGAATAGTCATGCATCTGCTGTCACTTGGCTGCGGCCATTTTCGTCAGCAGGTACCTAGGTGTTGTCCTCTGGTGTTTTTGCCAGCTTCTCCATAAGAGCCAAGCAGAACAGCATCTTCGGTTGTCTTGTACCGAAGTAGGTCACATACTTGCCAGAGAGGCCTGCTGGCCATGCAGGGACAAGGGTAGCCCGTGTACCAGTCACTACAGAGGGAGTCCTGTGACAAGGTCACTGACACAAAATGTACACTGTGTATGTTTCCTCAGAGGTTTTGGTTCAGCCATTCATTTCACTAGGAGTCTATTATGTGATGGTTTTCTAAATCATACACAACTGATAAAGGGTTTTATGTGCATAATAGTTAAAGATACAATACTGAGTCACCAAATCAGCTGTTTACTGCTGTATTTTGAAACTTTCAGTAGATTTAATAAATGCCATTTCCATTTATGGCAAACCTGATGCAGATTCAAGAAACTATTGAATTCTCATTCTCTGGGAACAGTGTTCTATAACTAGAGTTGCAATGAGGCTTAATTTTGAGCACCTTATAGGGGGACTGTTAGCTATCAGAAATTTTTAAAATGTGGGCCTTGAATTCAAGGGACTTGAGATAGATTAAGGAGTCTTAATGTCATCTAAAAAGGAAATGCATCCCTTTTTATTCCTAAAGACCAAGCAGGATTAGAGATACCATTTTCTGTAGGAACAAAGAGGAAGGACCCCCTGGGAAGATGTGGTCTGAAGGATAAATGAGGAAGGTGAGACTTAAAGAGGCAACTAAGGCAAAGGAGAATGGTGGCATCTAGGCAGGGAGAAGAGTGTGTAGGCAAGGGCTGCATGAGTCATAAACTAGGTGATCACCGTGGATGTCATAATTTGATGCATTGGGCATCTGCCCGGCCTGTGCTTCCTGGTAAACCTCTCAAGAGACTACTCTTGTGTAGTTATTCAGCACCAAAAAACATTAAGGTCTTCTTTTTCGCCTGTCAGACATTTTTTACTTTAAATTCCATTAGAAAACAGGGAATAATACAGTTATTCATAGTGAACACTCTTCTGTTGATAGTGCTAAAGAGAACACCAGAACTCTTTCCGCCCAGGTTTATTTTCAGTATCTCTTTGCATTGTTGCATTTACCTTGTACCTCAGGAGGTTGTTAGACCTAATGAGGACATTAAGAAATGGAGATACATTTTGAAGTGGCAAAGTTCCTTTTCTGATGTCCTAATGTCTTCTAACTTACATTCCAATCACAGACTGCTTTGAGAATATAGGGACAGGCTGGATCATCCCTGCAAAATGCAGCCATCCTTACAATTTTGTGTGTAATTTTAGAGGATTCACAGGTTCTTTTCACGTGTCTCCCAACCCCCAGCCAAAACACACCCAAGAGCTAAGAACCCCGCTATTTATAGAAGTACTGCAGAAATAAATCTACAGATCCTATTTTAAGCTATTCTACTTGTGGAAAAATTCCTCCAAATAACTAATCTGCATTTGTTGAATAGTTTAATCTTATTAAGTTTAGCTACAAAGTATGTATGTTCTTACTTTGGGTTTTGTTATACTCTATTTACTGGCCTAATAATTTTATGAAGTTGAAAATACTTATGACTAGATGCCCAGGTATATGTTTTATTCCATTCTTCAAGCAAAAGTAACTTCTTAACTATTACATGTTCAATTCTACTAGTGGTCAACTCTAAAGGAACATTCACGAGCATGTTATCTCTTGAAATTATGTGTTTCATAAACAAATTAATTTTGGATCTTTTATTAATTTAAGATTTCCATTATAGTTGGCTTCTATTTACCCCAAAGATAGAAAAATAGTTGTTTTTTTTTTAAAAAAGATTGTCTATTTCAAGTTATATTGCCATGCATTTTAACTCTTTTGTATTACATTTCAATTATATGCAAACAGAAGTATTATTCCAAACAAATAGATCAGTACATCTCAAACTTATAGCATCAGGATCAGCTGGAGGGCTTGTTAACAGTTTGCAGCAGAAACTTTCTCACAAGTTCCTATCTGATGTTGCTATTGCTGCTTTAGGGATCACACTTTGGGAACCAGTAAAATATGTTGTACTAATGTGGTCTTTATGAGATGAGTGGATGGTAAATATATATGGGCAATAACTGTTCTGCCTAGAATAGCATATTTTCATTAAATTTCCTTCAAATTCATAATCAAATGAATTTGTTTTCTCTCTGCTCATCTCAGGTACGAGAGAAGATCCAGAGAGACATAGGTTTGAAAATTATTATACTGTAAGACAATATATAACTCTCTAGTGGATGAACCAAATGTTTAAGTTAGTGATTTTCCTGGAGGCATTTGTGCAAGATAAACAAGATCTTCATTCAAACTACAAGATTGATCCATAATAGGTTTTTTTTAAAGTAACATGATTACTCTATTAGACATGCATGTTATAATGACAGACACAGAGATTGATTCTTTCTGTGCAATAGTTCATTTAATCTTCACAAACTAAGAACATTTGCTTGTAATTATTTTCCTATTGTGTGGAAATTGGAGCCTCAGGAGGCTAACCATTGCTCTAATCTATGGACCCTGGTTCACTCCTAGGTGACTAACATCGGAATTCACATATGTAGTCTGCCCTGTGTGGAATCGTCCATCACAGTGTGCTTTCCTTAAGCAAAATGTTTTATGCAGACGTTGTCATTGTCTCTTGGATATTTATAGTCCCTGACAGAAAGAAGCATATAAATTCTGCTATGCTTTCTGTCATGGTGATATTAACCCTGTCACAGAGCAATGTTTTTTACCTGTAGCTGAATAATGGTCCCCCTTAAGTCATTTGTAAGGTCATTTGTTCAAATGAAGGATCTAATTCATTGTCAGGGAACAAATTACAGTTGACCAGCTCAGGAATAGCTTCATTAGGGACTTGCTTTAGTCTAGGAGTTTGTAACCTTTCCCAGTGAGTCTGTGAATCTATATGCAGAGTTTTGTGACTGAATTCTTGTGCATTTTTCTGGCAAGTGCATAGCTTTCTTTAGCCTCTCAAAGGGTTGACTTATCATTTGCTACAGGAAGATACAGAAAACATTTTATCTTTAATAGTTTAGGGTTTCAAACAGAAACTAGAGATTGGTATTTATATTGGTGCTGATGTCAGTAAACAACTCTGAAAGGTGTTTTTCTTCTAGGAAATGCAAGAGAAACTCCAGAATTTTGCACAGTTACCTGCACACCGTGTCACAGACTCCTGCATAGTGGCACTCCTTTCACATGGTGTAGAGGGCAGCATCTATGGTGTGGACGGCAAACTGCTGCAGGTGCGTGTAATCTAGGGGAAGCTGACGGTTGGATCTAAGCTGCGTCACTTCCCACTTGACCTCCTTTATAGCAGCAGTTACTATTGTATGTGTAGGACTTCCGGAGTCCTTATTGACAACTTATCCTCTCTTCTCCTTTATTTCTCTCCGCAGCTCCAAGAGGTTTTTCGGCTCTTTGACAACGCTAACTGTCCAAGCCTTCAGAACAAGCCGAAAATGTTCTTCATCCAGGCCTGCCGTGGAGGTGAGTGCCCTGGCAGACCGGCACCTGGGTGATGGCTCCTGGGCAGCCTCCACCAGCTCTCACTTTCCTGTTTGCTCCTCTCAGGTGCTATTGGATCCCTTGGGCACCTCCTTCTGTTCACTGCTGCCACCGCCTCTCTTGCTCTGTAAGTGTCTCCCAATGCATGGGGTGTGCTGGGACTTGGGCAGCCCCTGGCTCTCAGGCTGGTCAGTTCTCTGTGCACCACCATAGCCTATTCTCAGAGTTCTCTTGTCAGTGTCTTCGCCCCTTTTTCTGAGAACTTGTACTCTTCTCTGTGCTTATTAACTCTGATACACTTTTTTTGTTGTTAATCATTCCAGTTAAGGGTTTTCTGTCTCTCTCTTCCTACTTCTCCTCACATTTTATCTCTTTCCTCTTTTCTCTTTCCTTCTGTCTTCCCCCTTGTACTTCTCTGTTCACCTACACTTCCATTCTTGCTTCCTTTTTATCATTCATGGACCACACAGGATAACAATACAGACTCCATTTCAACCTTGGACTTTCCTGAGCTGCTTCTGTCCCTCTTCTTTTTTCCTGCAGTCTGTTCTACCCCTTTAAGAGGCAGGCCTGCATGACAAGGCTCAGAAGACACCACAGGCCTGCTTCTCACCCTGGAGGAAAACAGTAGTAATTAAGAGTTCTAAATTTGGAGTCAAATTCTGACTCTGCTGCTTAGTAATTATTTGAAGTTAAAGAAGTTATTTGACATTCCTTTGCCTCAGTTTTCTTTAAATAAAATGTAGGCAGTTATACCTATTTCATAAGGTAGTTGTGATGATTAGACAGAATAGTGCATGGAAAAGCAAGTGTTTACATAGTACCTGATGTAGGGTAAATCTACAAAGCTAGCTATGACTGTTAGAATGTGGTCACTGCCCTCAAGGGGCTTATAGTTTGGGTTGAAGTCCATTTTGTCCAACCATTCAAATTTTTGAAGCTGTTATATAATAGCTAACATTATTTTCCTAATCTGATATCACCAAAGATGTAGTTTACTGAGGCCCTACAACATGACTAATACTACACCAGATACTATCACAGAAGCAAAAGAACCTCGCAGTTACTCTGGAAACTAAAGCAAATATACACGTAGTAGCTTGAGACTAGTTCTCAAGCATGAGCAAAATTAGAAACCACACATATGAGGAAATACTTAGTAAGAATACATCATTTTTAAGTGCAGTTAGTATGAAAAGACTTTTGTGGCTAGGGTAAGACTTAATTTGATCCAGGATATATGATTTACATAGGTAAATCTTTGGTAAAGTCTTTGGAGAGTTTTTCCAAGGGAAAGGAACAGTATAATGTGACAAGCACCTGAGAGTAAAAAGGACACATTCCCCCTAACCCCAGTTGTGGGATCCAGTTAAAAAGCTGACATTTCCTGTGGTGTGTATGATCACAGGAAGTAGGTCCAGCTGATTACAAACTTTTACTCACAGTTGAGATTTTGAACTTCAACAGATGACAGTATGGAGCTGTTGGGAGCTTAAAAAAGAAATAATATGTTGAGTTTCCCCCAGGAAGGTCACCATGTGAGGGAGCTGCTCTAAGAGCATATGAGAACACAAACCTAGTTTTGCATTCACTGTGCTTTTCCCAAGTCCAGAGCACTGCCTGCCCCTGGTGACACTTACAAATGGTTGAATGAATGAATGAAAATTTACCTGCCTAAGAAATTGTAGCAGTAATATGGAAAACATTAGGAGATATTGTAAAGAAAGAACCAGTAGCATTTACTGAGTGATAGATCTGTGATGTGAAGGCAAGAAAGGAGTTCCCTGTCTCTTGAAGGACATACTTATCTTGGCCCATTTCCTTTAGGAGTCATAACCAGCAAAGTGAAATAAATATGACATTAGTGGTCATTTTCTGAATTCAGAGATGAATACAGAACTGAATCTGGATAGGGCAATTGCTCTTTCCTGGGATAATCTGAATCTTTGCTCCTCCTCTTCCCTTTGTCTCTCAAAACTGTATTCATTAAAGGATGAACAGTAGTTGATTATTCCTTTGAAAATTTGAGCTTTCTTTCCGCTACATTTGGTAATATAATTAATGTCTATGAAAGTATGACCCCTGCCAAGTTGACTAACATCTCAATTGAAGTGGAAGTTTCATAAGGTGACTTTTCCTTTACCATATCCTTAGGGCTTCATATAAAACAGCATCTGATACATGGCCGTTGCTCAGTGACCTATTATTGAATCAATGAATCTTGGTCCTTTCTTCCACAATTTTTCACCAGGCTCTTGAATGTTGCATGGAGCAAGAAATACTATGAAAGAGCACACACCTCTGCTGTTGACCTGTGGTCTTTCCTGTCTCCCTTTCTACCAACAGGACTCCTGCCTCCCCCCAAATGAAACAGCAACATTGAAAATAAGAATCTGTCTTGGGGTAGATAAGCTCTAAGTCAAGAGTTTGGGCATATGCTCAGTGATGCTATGACACTACCACTGAGCTTGAATAATGGTGTTCTTTTTTCAGTTTTGAGGGAAAAAAATAAATTATTCCTATTTTAATTTCTTCCTCTTTAAAATTTCTCTTAAACCTTAGATGCCTGCTATAATTTATCTTGTAAAATTAAACAAGTAGTAAGTTCTTTAAAGATATCAAAATCACCATGGGAACTACTGATCATGAGTAGTTTTATAGCTTATTTTACCGATAATACAGATTAAAGTTATGGTTTTTATATAGCATTTTTTGGTTTTTGCTTATGTAATAAAACTGAGTGTGTCTATTGCTTTTTACAGTCAAAGCACTGTGACTTCTAGGTATTTTTCCAATTGAACTTAGATGATTTTTTTTGCCTCGCCGTGTATATATGCATGTGTTTGAGTGCAGTGCCTGGCCTAGTAGGCACCCCCTGGATAATGAGGCATGCTGGGAAAGTAATAACTTCTGTTTTTAAATTCATCTATCATAGGTTGGAGACAACAGCTGGAGATGACTCTTCCCATTCAAGGTTATAGGGAACTGGGCTTACCTGTGACAGGCTGCTAGAGACGGGAGAAAGTAACATCTTTGTTCATTTTGTGTGCCTTTCTACAGACGAGACTGACCGCGGTGTTGACCAGCAGGATGGAAAGAAGCCCGGGTGTGAGGAGAGTGATGCTGGGAAAGAGGAGATGCTGAGGATGAGACTGCCCACTCGCTCTGACATGATTTGTGGCTATGCCTGCCTCAAAGGTATTTGGGATTCCAGTAGGTAACCCAGAAGATATACTCTGGGCTTGAGTTTTTCATACTGCAGGATACAAGATACCATGGAAGTCACCTGTATTGGGGAGGATTCCCCATGACCTTCATGCTTTCTGGTTACAGGCACTGCTGCCATGCGGAATACCAAACGGGGTTCCTGGTATATTGAGGCACTCGCCCAGGTGTTCTCTGAGAGGGCTTGTGACATGCATGTGGCCGACATGCTGGTTAAGGTAAGTCAGCATGGGCCGGCTCCTTAAGCCCTCGCATCTCCGTAGCATTCTCCCTTCCTCTTCCTTGCACCACTTCTCTTAGGCTCTCTTCTCTTGTATTGGACTGCTGTCGTGAAAGCACAAGCTGATCTTAGACTCTGGATCACTGGCTCTACCTTTCCAGGTGAATGCCCTCATCAAGGAGCGTGAAGGCTACGCCCCTGGCACAGAGTTCCACCGATGCAAGGAGATGTCTGAGTACTGCAGCACTCTGTGCCGTCACCTCTACCTGTTCCCAGGATACCCTCCCACGTGATGCCACCTCCCCATCGTCCATGCTGTTGGCGGCCACTGGACCACCAGAGGCACGATAGAGCCTTTTTTCTTCCAGATGCAGTTTCTGTTCTGCCCCCTCAGGGATATGGGGACCCCCCAGGCTTGTTTCCAGTGCCCATCATCTCCGCCTTTGTGTGGGGGACTCCAGGCCAGCTCCTCTTGTGTGAAGCTCTCCCTGTAGAGCCGGCTCTGGCTGAACTTGTTGCCAGGAATGTTTTGGCTGCAATCAAAGAGCCTGGCAGGCAGTGCTAGGAACAGTACCATTGTGGGGGAGGGCATGCAGGTTTCTTAGTGTTTGTTACTTCAGCCCCCAGGGCTTCTATGGGGCACTTTGGTCGTCACTCTTATTACAGTAGTAATGATGTTTCAAAGATGGTCTCATATCTGTTCTGTGTTCCATTTCCCAACACCGTTTGTCCCAGAGAGTTTGGAGGGTGTCCTAAGTTAACATAGGCATTTTCATTTGGCTTTGAAAAGGTAGATGTGACTGAAAGACACACCCTCTACTGTGAGCAGAAGTGCCTGTACATTCCCTTCAGGACCGCGGGTCCCTGTGGACAGCAGTCTTCTCACTTCACCCTTTGGGCTGCAGGAAGCCAGCCTTTCATCAGCAGTTGGGTCTGCATGCTTTGCTCCTGGGAGTGTTAAAGAGCTTCCTTGGGCCTTCTTTCCCCGAGCGGTTACTGAAGTGAGTGTGTGGGGAGAGTGGGCAAAAGGCCAGGAGGGTGGTGTTCTGCTCACACTGACCTGCCACGTGTCTGCTTTCTCTCTCCTCCGAGATGTCCCTTCCTCTCCCGTAGTGTTCTCATGTCCAAGCAGTCAAAGGGAACCTCACATCTGGATTTCTGGAATAGCTTCCCACTGTTGTCTCCCTCCTTCATGTCTCTTCCTTTCACTGCTGCGTTTCCTTCTGTTCAGTTCTGCCATGTCAGTGGGCGGTGCCCCTTTGCGGGTCCTTTGGCTCCTGCACTCTGCTTCTTTGTCAGACTTGTTTTGATTTTATGTGGTCTTCTCTCCCCTCCCATTCTATTTCAGTGAGGATATTACCACACACATTATTATTCTTTCAAACCTAGAAACTTTATTTCTGCTTCTATGAAACCTTCCTGTTCTTAAGGCATTCTTTTCCATTTCCATTTTACCCCCTCCAGTCTATTCTTCACATAACAGAATGATTTTGGGTTTTTTTGTTTGTTCATTATGTTTTGAGGGACATTATTTTAGTTTTTTGTTTCTTGGTATTAGAGATTGAACTCAGGGACACTGTATCACTGAGCTGCATCTCTAGCCCTTTTTATTATTTTGAGGGGGGGATGACAGGTTTTTGGTAAGTTACTTAGGGTTTTACTAGGTTCCTGAGGCTGCCTGGAACTTTTGATCCTCCTGCCTCAGCTTCGTAAGTCACTGGGATGATAAGCATGTTCCATTGCCTGGCCACTTTTTGTTTTTTAAATATAAATCTGATGATATCATTCTCCTGCTTGGAACTCTTTGGCTTCCTGTTACACCTCATAAAATTCAAACTCCTTACCCTGATTTGTGAGATATGGCCCTTGTCTTCCACTTGAACCTTATTAAGTAGTGGCTTCTCACTATGCTCTAACCCCGTGGCCTCTTAGTGTCTCAGCTGTTCTAAGCTCTCTATCCCAATGCTCTTGCCTGGGATAGCATCTTATTCTTCGAGTTTCATGGAGGCCTTCCCAACCTGTGATCTGCTTCTATGAAACCTAATAAACAGTCTTCTCTGTTTATTACTGCTTTCTGTTTAATTATTCTTCTTTGGTTCTGGGGATTGAACCTAGGGGCATGCTTCCATTGAGCTGCATCCTCTAGTCCTTTTTATTTTTTGAGAAGAGATTTTGCCACATTGTTGATTCTGGTCTTGAACTTTTGATCCTCCTGCCTCAGCCTTCCAAGAACCTGCAATTACAGTGTCTACCACCTTGTCCAGCTCGTTTCATTCTTTCCTTGCACTTACTGCAACTTGTAATTACATATTTGTTTGTTTTACTTGTTTGTTTTTATATCTCCTACTAGGCTATAAGCTCCAAGAGGGCAGGAACCCTGGCTCTCTTACCTGTATGGACCCAGTGCTTGGCGCTTACTAAATCTTCAGTAAATGTTCGTTGAATGAAGAAAGGAGGCCAGCAGCCAACCCTTTCTAGAATCCTACTTTTTGACAAAATTTCCCTTTTGACATTATACAGTTGAGTATTTGTACTTGTGTTTTTCCAGGTGTTCTGTTTTTGTTCACTGGTATTTTTAGCTCCTTGAAGACATACCATCTGTGAGACAGCTTCTTTCACATCCTGCATGGTGCCTAGCAGAATGCACACATGCAATAGTCAAGGTGCTCAATAAACATTTGTTGTGCGAGCGGGTGGCTTGAAGACTTGCTCCCTTTGGGTCAGTGTAGGATGGGCGTATTTGAGTGATCTAGCCTTTCCACTTCCCACTGCCAAGATTTGTATTGCCATGAGGTGCCAAATAAATGTTCATATTTGTTACTGTTGCCTGCCTGGTGTCTGTTTCTGTAGATGCTCAGTTTTCAGAGCCACGTGTCTTCATTTTCTTGGGCCTTGTCCTGCATCATTCCTTGCCACCTCACGAGGCATACCTAGAACTGAAGACCCCTTATTTTGCTGCCCCTCTTTCTCATACGTTGATATAGCCCTGGGTTTGATTTCTCATGTTCAGATGAGTCTTTACCAAGCAGTGTTGGTTCTAGCTTATTTAATTATGGGATGGAGGCTGGAGTGACAGACTGGAATAGGAGGATAGGAGAGAAGGAATAGTAGTACTCCATTTCTCACATGGGCCAAGTGATGTTTAAGGTGAGCAGAGATTGTAACAGACTTAGGGCTGGGCATGGTGGCAGAAGGATCTCAGATTCAAAGCTAGCCTTGGCAAAGGTGAGGCACTTAGCAACTCACTAAGACCCCGTCTCTAAATAAAATTCAAAATAGTGCTGGGGGTGTGGCTCAGTGGTTGAGTGCCTCCGAGTTCAATTCCTGGTACCAAAAAAAAGAATTCTAGGGCAGCATGGAAGCACTGGATTCTGAGTTATGCTCTTGGGGTATATGTCTAGAGACAAATGTGCAGGTACAGGTGGGCTTCAGAGGTTTAGCAAGAGATTAAAAATTCTGTAAGAGCATTTGGGTGGGAAATAGCTGTGGGACTTGGGGAAAGTTGCTGAGGAGTACAGAGTGGGTGGTGGTGGGGCAATTGTCTAAGAAGAGGGAAAGGGTATAGTTAAGCTGAAGCATGTCACCAGACAGAGGATCCAGTGTGAAAGAATACCAGGGGCAAAGAGCACAAAAAATGGACTGAAACCAGTTGGTCACGCTGTCAGGGATACAAGAATCTAGGAAAGTTTAAGGAATTGCAGGGATCGTGGGAGTAAAAACCCATTTTCAAGACGGGAAAGCTTGGGAATTACAGAACAGTGTTTGCTGAGCAGAAGTTCCTGTCCTTGCCACCTGCCCTTGAATCAGGGCATCAGGTTGAATTTCACAACTCAATTCCCTTCCCCCACTTACCTCTGCCAGGGGATTCTCTTCTAAAATTATCCCCCTCCCTGAGCTGGGGGCTGCCCTCTGCCGCCCTTCCCCATCCTGTTTTCACAAACGGAAAAGGAAAACAGGAAGAAATGAAGCAAATGATATACCAGACCAGAGCTGCAATCATAAGAGGAGGGAGAGCTGTCTGAAGACAGGAGAGTGGCTACTGGGGATGGAGTGCAGAGCCTGGGGAGGCCCTGAGCAAGGAGTTTGCCGCCTCCCCAGGTCCCACAGGGAGTCGTCTTCCCACTGATTTTTTTTTTTATTTGGTTTGTTCAGAAGGAAAACAAGGCCCAGAGATTCAATTATCATTTATCATAAATTAAATGTAGCATTAAGAACTTGGATTCTAGAACTTTCTAGGTATGATTTTCAAATCTGGCCCTGCCTTTGAAGATACTAGAAACCTTGGCCAAGATAATTTACATTGAACCTCAGTTGCCCTTACCTAAAAATGAGGAAAAGGTCTCTGTCTTCAAAGGCCCCAATGAGGATTAAATGTGATGCAGGAAAAAGATTATCATATTTAGAAAGCCAGAAGAGGGAGAAAGAGGCCTGCTGATTACTACAGGGAAATCCTACTCTGCTGGGAATAGACAGAAAAAGACCAAGGATTTTTCACCCTGTGCTGGGACTTGAACTCAGAACTCGGCCCCTTAAACATGCTAGACAAGCTTTCCATCATAATGACAGCTACATCCCCAGCCTAGGATCAAGGAGTCCTGAAAGAGCAAAACCCAATAAGGAGTAGAGGAGAAATGAGCACCAGTGGGGTCTTCTACAAAGAGAAAGTGTCTCAGAGGTAGTTGTAGTTGCTTTGCTGAAATTTAGAAAGCGGGGCATGAATGCTGTGCTGCCAGCCATGCAGAGGGAAAGTGACTCCTGAAAACACGATGACTGTCGGATTTATTGCCCCATCAGTTGGGGAGGCTGGACTTGGAGTTGGAAAATAAGAAAAACTCAGAAAATCCATACCTAAATTCCAAGGGAGACGCATAGGACTATCCTATACAAGCACCTTTACCTGCCAAACAAACCTCCCTCCCACTTATGCCCCCTGTGGCCACTCTGTATAACTTCCTTCAAACAGCAGTTCCATCAGCCGGCAGGTTTGTTCTTGATTCTCCTAATACAAGAATCTGGTTCTTGGAGTGGCAGTCTGCTCTCCTTCAGGACTACATGTTTCCACTTGGCAGGTGTGAGCACTTTCCTGACCCCTCTGGTCTCTGCCTCCAAGTCTGAGAATCGAGATCAGGCTGAGTTTCTCAGGGGCAGGAAGGAAATAGCAATTGCATCTGATAGTTGTATCAGTTTTGTACAAAAACCAATTACCTTTAAAAGAGCCAGACCTCACAAACAAGTGAAAAATCTTTTCTATTTCTGAAGGCCTCCAACAGTATAATGTCATTTTTCACTCCATTTTCTTTGTTGAGGAAATACTCCTTTCATTTCGCACCAGTTCCTTGGAGCTTGCCTTATCTACTGTCTGCAGTAAGAGCAGGTAGCCTCACAGAACCTTTAGTCCCTCAAACAATCACAAACATTTGTCATTCTCGAAGGGTGGATGATAGGTCTGAGGATTTATGGGACTAATGGTAGAAAAGACGAGATTTTTTTTTAAATTTCATTGGTATATAATTGGCAAATACAGATCTTACATATTTATGGCATACAACTTGATGTATTGGTATACGTATACATTGTGAAGTGATCACTATAATCAAGGGAGTTAACCATCATCTCACAGTTACCCGGAGTGTGTGTACGTGTGTGTGTGTGTGTGTGTTGAGCAGATTTCAGACACTTAGTATAGTATTGTTAATTAAACTCACCACACACATTAAATCTCCAGAACTCATTTGATAACTAAAACCTTACATCCTTTGACCACCATCTCCCCAGGACCTATACCCCTAGCCCAGCCCCTGCTCTCTGCTTCTGTGAGTTCCACTGCTTTAGATTCCACCCATGAGTGAGATCATGAAGTATTTGTCTCTCTGTTTCTGGCATATTTTACTTAGCATGATGTCCTCTTGATCCATCCAAGTTGTCACAAATGACAGTTACCTTCTTTTTAAGGCTGAATAATAGTCCATTGTATATGCACATCACATTCATCTGTTGATCTGTTGTTTCTATATCTTGGCTGTAGTGAACAGTCCTGCATTGAACAAGAGAGTGTTGATATCTCTTAGAGTGATTAATTTGTCTCTGGGCAGATACCTAGAAGTGGGACTGCTAGATAATATGGTATTTCTATTTTTAATTTTTTGAGGAATTTCCATACTATTTTCCATAAGTATTGTACCAGTTTAGATTCTCACCCAAGTCCACAATAGTTCCCTATTCTTTGCATACTCTCTAACACTTACCTCTTATCTTTTTGATAGTAGCCATCCTAAAAGGTGATATCTCATGGTTTTGACTTCATTTCTCTGAATGTTAGAAATGTTGAGCACCTGGAAAAGGTACTTTTAATGGTATCCATCTTCCCGATTGTTTGGGTGATTCCATTTAGTTTAGGTCAAAATTAAACATTGTAGGCTAGACATTTGGTGTCCCTACCTTCTGGTCCTTGAATTTGGATGGATCCTAAATTTTGCCTCAGTTTATAGCTTTCGTCTATAATGAGATCATTGGGAAGGAATCTTCTTAGGAAAGCCTGTGAAATAGACACAATGCTGGATGGAGCAGATTGGCCTCGGTCAAAAATTATTTATTGGCCTAAAAGAGGAAGAATAAAGAGGTGACTTCCCCTTTGTCTTTTGCTTGTTGGCTCATCATGGGAAGCACTCCTTTCCCACCACCTTGCCTCTGGATTATTTCCGCTTCTCCCTGTTATCTGCCTGTGCTGACAGAGCTGTCATGGGCACCACAGTTTAAGTGGGAGCTCAATCCTTCCCCGTAGATCTGGGCTGGCCATGTGGTTGATACATGTGGGTCTGGGAAAGGGGAGAAGTTCGAGAACCCAAGGCTATTACCAGTGCTTCCCTCAAGTGTTCCACACCCAGAGGGTGATAAGGATGGGATCAAGGGGTGGCACCGAAGGTTATTAGCAGCCTCTGGCAGACCAGGGCAGAGAGCTGAAGGAGTCAGCAGGGAATGGAATGGGTTAGAGAGTCGGCCAGACAGAAGCACAAGATCTAGATGAGAACTGAACCCTGCAAAGGTACGGAGCTGGAGACCACCCAACAGGGAGAGATGGCAGAGAGGCACCAGCTGCTCTCCCAGGTGAGTTTCCTGGCCAGCGTTTCCAGACCTTCTAGTTACTTCATACCACACCCCTGGCCTTCCACATGCTGAGGGAGAGGTGGGAGCCAGGGCTTAGTGCAGACCAGTGCAGCACACAGCCTGGAGAACACACTGAGCAGCTCCCTACCCTGCCCCAGCGATATTTATAGAGGAATCACTGACCTGGGCCTGGAAACCTACTAGTGACTAGGGAGGGGACAATGCTGCTGGCCTGTGAAGGGAATTCCCTGTGGGGCTGTCCCACAGGTTCTTATCCCAACCCCCACCCCAGCACTACACTGACACCTGCTTCGACCCCAAGCAGATCAGATGTGGCTGGGGGGGGCATGTCATGTGATGGGGAGGCATCTATAAATAGCTGGAGGTGGGCATGCTGCCCCAGACGCCTTGGGGACAGGCGAGAGCAGAAGCTTAAGGAGCTGCCCTGGGGGGAGGACGGGGGCAAGCAGGCCAAGGCCTGGCTAGGGCTGGGGGGCAGGCCACATGGAGCGATCCCAGTCACAGAGGCATGGGGGTGAACAAAGCTGGTGGGGAAGTGCCCCCCAGTACCAGTACATGCCCTTTGAACACTGCACCAGCTATGGACTGCCATCTGAGAACGGGGGCCTTCAGCATCGGCTCCGAAAGGACGCAGGCCCCCGGCACAACGCCCACCCCACACAGGTAAAGACCTAAGGGGAGGGAAGCGGTGGACAGGGGAGAAGGTGGGGCCAGGGATGGGTGAGATAGGAATTAGGTGAAAAGAAAGAGCACCTTTCAACTTTGTAAAAGTCCATGGTAATATGTTCAAATTATAAAACCCTTTCAAGGGTATGGGCTCACCTAAGTGTACACTCTAGAAATATACGTGCATATTCATGTAGCCTTCACTAACAGGATAACCAACTCCTGTGGGGAACTGGCAGAAACAGATCCAGGAGAAGCTCGTGCTTACGTAACCCACACAGGGTGATTCAAGTTGGGGCCCACATGCTCTGTGCTACCAGCATCTCCCACATGCAGACCCTGGGGGATTTCTGCCATGCAACCTACCACAGAACACACACACACACACACACACACACACACACACAAACTCTTCTACAGAAAGCAGAAGAAAGGAGTCAAGACAAGGAGAGAAAACAGGCTGGGTGTCTTGCCAGAATTCAAAAACCTACCCATGTCAAAATGAGCAGAGAGATGCATTCAACTTTTAGGAGTTTGAGGACATAGCTCAGTAGTAGAGCACTTGTCTTGCTTGCACTAGGTCCCGGGTTCCATCCCCAGCACCACAGCGGGTGGGGAGTGGGGGAAAGCTCTTAGATGACAAGACTGAGCAAATAAGAACCTATTAAGTGTGAACCACTTAGAAAGGTGCTGGTCCTAGAAAGGAACTGGCAAACTAGTTAGGGAGAAGCATCCTCCAGGGGTGGGGATCAGAGGGTTCAGACATCTAGAAGAGAGGAGATAGAGTTGGGCCCAAGGAAAGGAAGGTGGTGAAATCACCCTGGAAAGTGTACAGGCCACGATTGGTAAGTCTACCTCTCGCCACAGAAACTGCAGAGACGGAGAGCGGAAGGTGTCCTGAGGGTCAGATCAGACTTAGAAAGTGCTTTGCTGACAGGGAGCCTGTGTTTCTGTAGGTGTGAGGCTGGAAGCCTGAGGGGTGGGCTCTGCAGGTGATTCACAGCATTGGAGTCAAGAGGATCCTCAGCCCTGACCAGTCCCCCAGGGAAACTGTGGAGGCAGCACAGGGCTGGTGGAACTTTTGGGGAGCAGGACATAAATGTCATGTAGGCTGCAATAGTGAGACAGTGGTTTCTGGAGATGGTGGCACCTGACTGTGGCCTCTGACCCAGGCCTTGGAACACAGCGTGAGTACCCTCGTTCTCAACAGGGTACTGGTCATTTCTAGAGGGGGAGGGTGACAAATCGAGGGAAAGCGCAGTTAGGGCACTTTCTGGTGACAGTGAGGACACTGGCCGAACGTGCATGAAACCACATGGGAAAGAATGACAAACTGGTTTGGAGAGGGGTTCAGCTGGTTTCCACAAGTCTTTGAAAGCAAAAAATTAGTTTGGATTCGTATGAAGGGAAATTCCAGAGTTACACAAAGCAGGGAGGATGGTATAATGAACCCCCAAGTACATAACAGTTTCCCACATTTCATCCACTTCATTTCATCAACCCTTCACATGCCCAGAGGACTGTCAACATGTCCCAGGCATGGCATCACTTAGAGACTTGGGTTTTGATTCTGCCTTCCCCTCCCCTGCTTCAGTGTGGTGGTTAGTGCTGGACCAGCACAATGGATCTGGTCCTGTAGCACCTAGGTTTCGGTAGGAAGCACACCCTTCCTAAGCTATGCCAGCCTGGGACCTCAGGGAGCCGAGGCAGCCCCAGTTTTCTGACCTCCACTGGGAGTATCTTCTAGCTCTGGGTCCCAGGCAGGGTTCTGAGGGAAACACTGACTCCCTGGGCCACCGGCCTCATCCTAGGAGACGAAACAGCTGGGAGCAGAGCAATGAGTGTGTGCCGGTTCTGGACCAGGTAAAAACTGATGCTCACGTTATGAAATCAGATCTCTTCTAGGTGGTTCTCCCAGAATCAGCAAAAAGGCCTGGCCTGCACCTGGTCCCAGAGGCTGGAGATAGTGTAGTGGGGGGCAAGGGGGCAGTTAAAAGTGATCATTTTACATGCACCACACAGTCACATATGCTAATGTCAAGAGGAGGCTTTGGGATCTGACTGTGCCTCTCCATCCCCTTCACATGACAGTGGGGCCTGGTTACCTTGTTTTGGGAAGTAGATTGATTGACTTCCTTATCAGACCTGATTCCTCATTATGCCTATGAAGGCTGGGGGATGAGATGGATGGGGTTTATCCAAGCTCAACAGAGAATTCAGGTGCCACAGGAAGGCATTCACAGCAGGCAGTAGAACCAAGTCATTTGTCTCTGTACCCATGTGCAATTTTTATGAGTCAATGAAAAATAAAAGTCATGTGCTAGCTAGGCCAGTTCATCCTCACCTGGTGCAAAGAGTGACCCTAGGAGGGAAGTCAGTGTCAGGGAGCTGGGGGTCTTGGAAATTATCAAGTCCTACAGAAAGCATAGTGACACTTAAAATACCTACCAGCTATGGATGCCCAATCTAAGTACGGTTCTCTGTGTCTCCACTACCTAGTGGGAATTAGCCTCCCTAATGAAGGCTACCATGAACCAAAATGAGTACAGGATGAGGAAGGGAAAAAAGAAGGGGTGTGTGTGTGTGTGTGTGTGTGTGTGTGTGTGTGTGTGTGTGTGTGTGTTAGGGGTAGGGATGGACAGGAAAGAGCAGAAAATGTGCGACTGGAGAGTAGAAAGGTCAGAGCAGGGAGACCACAAAGTACCCTGCATGCAGCCCTCAACACCCCGGATCCAAAAGAGCTCTATTTCTTGTCTGTGAGTCTCCTTGCTGCCCTCTGTCTATTCTGAATAGACATTGACCATTCTCCTTCCATCCAGATTTATGGCCATCAAAAAGAGCAATTCTCAGACAAGGAACAGGATATGGGGATGCCCAAGAAGATGGGCTCCAGTTCCACGGTGGACAGCAAGGATGAGGACCACTATTCTAAATGTCAAGGTGATGGGGACTGAGGAGTAAAGGACTCTGGAATAGGAGGTACAGGGATTGCAAGAGTACCCTGGATGCTCCGTTGTACGTACCTCCCTCTTGCACACACTCATGGAAGCCCTCCTCTAGGTGCTAAGGGAAAAGCACTTCACCCACCTCCTTCACACTGAGCCTTGTTCCCTACTGTCTCCCCCTCCTCCCAAGAAACAGAAGCTTTATAGGGGAACTCACAAATTTATGGGGAGTTGGTAGAGGTGTAAGGAGAATTCAGCAACACACACAAGACCCTAGAGCCCAATTCCTCCCCTCTACTCCTCAACCACACACTGGAGGTAGAGACTGGTGGGCTGTTTTTGTCTATCTTTTTTTAACCCTTTTCTCTTCCTAGATTGTATCCACCGCCTGGGACGTGTGGTGAGAAGGAAGTTGGGGGAAGACTGGATCTTTCTGGTGCTCCTGGGCCTGCTGATGGCTCTGGTCAGCTGGTGCATGGACTATGTCAGTGCCAAGAGCCTTCAGGGTAGGCACCTCGGGACCGGTGCCCTCAGCGTCTCCCCACACGGAGGCTGTTCCTAGGATTTCCACCTAGGGCAGGTTTGGGGAGGGGATGCTGTACGGAGGCAGACACAACTTGTCTGAAGCACCTGGCCTCAGACAAGACCAAACCCATCAAGACTCGAGGCCTAAATCCATGTCCCTTCCACCTGCAGTGGACACCCCTCTAATATTAACCCACTTGTTCCAGTTTCCCCAGGATCTTCCCAGTTTTAGTTACGAGTCCCAGGAACCCCTCAGTTCTGGCCAGGTGGGTGGATTGGTTACCCCATGGCCTCTAGCCATGCGCTACAGTCTATTCTCCAGATACAGCCCAAACACCTGCCTCCACTGGCAGAGGGAACTTGAGCAGGCACTCACCTCCTGCAACTCAGGTTTCCCACATGTAAAATGAAAGTAGTATCCCTGAGGAGAGGCAAACAGGATGTCCGCAGCCTGGTAGCACAACCAGCAGTATGTCTGCCATGCAGTGCTCTAGACGTGGCGTGGCAGTGATCACCATAACTGTCAGCATCTCCTCCCTGACCCCAGGCATGTGTCCCTGCAGCCTACAAGTGGACTTATGCCCAGATGCAGCCCAACCTTCCTCTGCAGTACCTGGCCTGGGTCACCTTCCCGCTTATTCTCATCCTCTTCAGCGCCCTCTTCTGCCAGCTCGTCTCTCCCCAGGCTGTTGGTGAGAACTTTCTAGAAGAGTCCACACAGTCTTGTTGCCTGCAGACTGTTCCACTCTGGCTTCCTCCCAGCCTTCAGCCCCACTTCCAGCCCTTTGGGAGCCTTGCCATGATCCCCTCCCAACCCCCATTTCCCCTCCATCTCCTGCTTCATTTCCAGCTCAGACTTGCCCATGACCCTTCTTTAACGCTTTCAGGCTCTGGAATCCCTGAAATGAAAACAATCCTTCGTGGGGTTGTCCTGAAGGAGTACCTCACAATCAAAGCTTTTGTGGCCAAGGTGGTGGCCCTGACTGCTGGGCTGGGCAGTGGCATCCCTGTGGGAAAAGAGGTGGGTCTGGTGTGCACTGGGAGAGAGCTGAGGAGAGAGAACAATCTAGGGGCACTCTGGGAGCAGTTATGGACTAAAGGCAAAGCCAAGAGGCAACAGGGAGGGGGAACACTGGGAAGGTCCTCTCCTGGGGATGCAGGTCAAAAACGTCATAGCTGGGGGGCTTTCCTTTAGATCAGTCTCTCAACCTGGGCACTGTTGGCATTTGGAACTGGAAAATTCTGTGCTAGAGGTACTGTCCTGTGCAGCGTGGTATTAAGTATCATCCCTAGCCTCTAACCATAGAGGTCAATAGCAACCCCAGTTATGACAACCAGAATCCCCCAGACATTGCCAAATGTCCCTGGGGGGTGAAATCCTCCACCTAGTTGAGAACCACTGCCTTAGCCACAATCCCCTTATTTTAACATGAGAAAACAGAGACCAAGAAACAGGCTGTGCTTCTTCAAGGTGTCACCCTCTGGTCTCGGTTCATCCTCATGTACCCTTTGCCCCCTGCTGAGGACACTCCACACATCCAGAGTCATCTTTATAAAATGGAATAGGTCACATCTGACCTCTGATCAGTAACTTCTCTGCAGCTTTTCATACCACTTAAAATCTGAAGGTCTCACCCTAGACTGCAAGATCTGGGCTGATGACACCCTCCCGTCTGCTAACCTTCCAGCCTCCCAGCCTTCCCCGCTCACTGTGCCGGGTTCACAGGGCTTTCTTCCCATCCCTCCACCACACCAAGCTCATCCCACGTGGGACTCCTGCACTTGCTTTATTCATTCTTCCTCCTGACTCTCCTGTGGCTCGCTCACTTCACTCAAGGTGCTACTCTGTTTCAACAGGCCCAAGGAGGGGCCTCACCAGGCTGCCTTTATCTAAGCACATGTCACCACCTGCCCTCAGCCACCCCATCTCTCTCTCACCCTCCCTCATTGGCCTCTTGGCTGGCATTATCTGAAAAGAAAACATGCAGGTCTATCATCTCGCTCTCTGATGAAGCTTCTCAGAGGCAGAACTTCTGTCTGCCCCTTTTCCAGCACTTCATCAAGTGCCTGAAGCAGGGAATATTCATTTCACTGAACCCTCTGACACGTTCCCTGCCTTGCAGCCTCTCACCCTGAGCCCTGGCTATCCCTCTCTTCTAGGGCCCTTTTGTTCACATCGCCAGCATCTGTGCTGCTGTCCTGAGCAAGTTCATGTCCATGTTCTGTGGGGTCTATGAGGTAAGGTTGAGACAGTGGAACACCGCAGGCACCAGTTGTGAAGAAAGCCAGCCGCGTGTGCACAGGGGGCTGGGAGGGCTGCCTCTGCTCCAGGCTGGCCATGATGCTGGAGGGGACATTGCACTAACCACTCTCCTATTCTCCTTGGCCCTGCCTGCCCACATGAGCTGTCTAGTGCCTCCGTTTAGCCTGTGCTTGTCCTCCTAGTGCACACCTGTCCTGATCCGTGCCCCCCCATGGTGACTGGGCTGGTCTGCCCTCATGTTACCCTGCTAATCCACATGGCTGGATCCTCCATCAGTTCCCCTTGATATCCCTCCTGTGCTGCCCTTGTCCCTTTGCAGTTCCTGACCCCCACCCTGATCTTGCTTACATCCCTCCCCCCGTCCCACCCTGCCACCCCCTGGCCCCGCGTGCTTCTCTGTTGCAGACCGTGCCTGGGCAGCTTGACCTCCTGGTGCCAGCCTGCGCGGTAGGCGTGGGATGCTGCTTTGCAGCCCCTGTTGGAGGCAAGTTTCACTTCCTCCCCACCCCAGTTGCCTGAGCCAGACTTGGAAGAGGTTTGAGTGGCTGTCACAGCTTAAGGGTGGAGAGGGTCATGCTCACCAAAGGGGCTGGTGGGTGGGCATCCAGGGAGTGACCAGAGATTATCACCCCTAACCTCAGTCCCCTGTGCTTTTTCATCAAAGGACTGAATAGTCTTCTGAGAATAATTGCTGTCTCATGCAGAATTTGCTGACACTTTTCTGCCTGTCCTCTCCTGACTATTTTGCTACTCCCACTCTCACCACGAGTGTCCCCATCTCTAGCCCTCTCTGGTCACTTATAGTCTTACCTGCCTGGTATATATTGGCTTCACTTTTGTTCATCTTCAGTTTGGGCCTTGAGCCACGAGGTCACTTCCTGTTTGTCACACTCACTGAGTTTCTCCTGGCCTGGGAGTCGCAGGGGCAATGGGACCATAATGATTCCCCATGACTTAGGCCTCTAACTCTGCCTTCTTGCTGTCCCTACATGTCTCCCCCACCTCTGCCCCTTGCCCTCCTCCTCCCTCCTGCCTCTCTCTCTCTCTCTCTCTCCCTAGTAGCAGCCGTACTATTACACTGATATCCTGACGGTGGGCTGTGCTGTGGGGGTTGGCTGCTGTTTTGGAACACCACTTGGAGGCAAGTTCCCCCTCCCACATTCAGGCCACCTGCCTGGCCTTTCTCACTGTCAGCCTCACCCAGTGCTGGAGCTAACCATTTTCCTATTATCATGAGGACAGCTTTTAGTGAACATTTTACCAGTGTCTAAGTTCAGTTCCTGCTAAAAGCTGTATGAGTGAGAAGTCATAGAGGAGAGTACTGAACTGAATCAGAGAGGGCAAGTAACTGGAGCAAGGGCATCTGTTGGTAAGCTGCCAGGCATCCAAACCAAGGCAGTCTTCATAGTCCTCTACTTATTTAAACCCCATTTGTATCATCAAATCTTTTGCTGCCATGTATCATGTCTTGTGTTAGAATCCATGTACTTCTTTCTCCGAGGGAAAGCTTACATTTTGCTGTGTTCTATTAAGGATGTGGGAATTTAAGTGGACTTTATTTAGATTAAGGACAATCTCTAAATGAGGGGTCCTTGTGGAATTTTTTTCCTGATAACAAATTATAGTTTAGTTTGACTCTTTCTACCCATATGAAGCAAGCAGTGGTCTTTCCAGTAATTTTTCTTATCATGGATGTGGTTGAAGAGGCTGTTCTGTTTATTTAGCCATCAAAATCAGGTATAGCCACCCTAACAGGGCAGGGATAATATGGGTCATTCATTGGAGTCATTGGTGATAAAAAACAAAAAAGGTTACCAAGTTGATAACTGAAGGAACAAAATTACAGAAAGGGGCATATGCTTTTCAATTGACCACCTGCTAGAGGTTCTTTTCAATTTTGAAAATGTGATCGGTCTTTCCCTAGAGGAGTCTTTCAGGTCACTAAAATGGCTTGGCTCAGGAAGAGGGCACAGGTCAGAGTTCAAAGTCAATGCAAACATACCCTGCTGCCTTGTGCTGACCCTGTGCCAAAGCACGCAGCATGGGAGACTGGGTGAGCACACAAGCAGGCACCCATTTGCACTCCTATTGTCAGCTGTAGTCAATGAAGTCATTAGTCAGTGGAGGGCACTGTGTTTGAACCTCTACTAATGTTACACATTCACACTTACTTCTATATTCATGTTCACTTTTACTTACTCTTTAACCTTCAGAAGATCTGAAGAATGTTTTTTAGACAAAAAGTTTTGTTATTCTAATTTTGTTTCTATTAGCCAAGATTTTTTTTTTT